TCTACTCACCTGGCTTGGGCTGACGTTTTGCAGGACTGAGACACTGCTGTTGCCCTTTCAGCGAAGTCTAGGTAAACGTGGGCCCACTAGGCACTGTGACAGCTTTTAAAAGTTGGTGGCTACCTTAAGCACCGCTCGGGCTGGCGCTCTGTGAGGCTGTGGCCTGCACATGCTCGGCAGAGATCATAGTTCACCATGCACAGGGAAGAAGGGTGTGTTGCTGGGGACTGCCACTGGGCATGAGATTCGTGTGCATAAGTCACTGCCATGGGACAGGGCCATCCCACTGTCCTGCTTAGAGGTGCCAGGGCTGGCCCCATCAGCTGCCACAGAGGACTGAAAATGAGTGACTCGCCCAAGAGCTGAGCTGCCAAACTAGCTGCTGCCTCTCATTTGTGCTAAGCCACATCCAGCGCCTGGCCTGTCCACCACCTACCCACCACTTCCCATCCACCCACCATCCACCCATCCACCCATTATCCACCCATCGACCTGCCCATCATCCACCCACCCACTTATCCACCCACCATCCACCCCTCTGGACTGTGTCATCCTGGAGCCGCAGAGCTGGCTGAGACACCAAGGCCCAAGGCCACCTTGAGCCTGAGGAGCCCAGGGGCCGGGGTGCTTCCTAGAACAAGGGCCTCTTTAGCTGGGTTATAAAGAACAAGTAGGACTTGGCACCCAGGGAGAAGTGCGTTCCGGACAGACAGGACTCTGAAAGGTGTGTGTCGTGGTGCAAGGGATGGATGGCAGAGACAGGGCAGGACCCGAGGGGCCCCATGGAAGAGGCTTCTTCGGCCTACAGGAGGTGGGGCGCGCAGCTCGGCTCCATCACCTGCTCCCTGCCACTTCATCCATGTGCTGGAAGACAGGGGCTTTACGAGCTGAGGTGCGGTCTGTCTTGGCCCTGAGCACAGCAAGTGGTGGAGGAGGACAGGAAGTGGGTGTGGAAGGGGCTGCTCTCAAGCTTGGGTGGGCAGAAGTGGCTCAAGAGGCCCTGGCAGAGGACAGGGCTTTCACATGGGGTGGTCCTGGCTCATCCAGCAGTCTCCTGGGGCCAGACTGTGGGGGGAGGCAAGAATGCCCGGATAGCTGCTTCCTGACCCTCGAGCTTGGGGAAATTTGAGGGGTGGCATGAAGTAAGCTGAAAGAGCAGACTCCGAAGCCAGCCAGCCAGCCCCAAATCCAGCCTCCCTGTCCAGGGTGACCCCAGAAGGATCCCTCCCCTGCCTTGCCCATCCCTGAGGGTCCATGGCGCCCCATCATGGCCTTGGTCAGGAGGCTCAGCCTCCCAGGGACTCAGTTTCATCCCTTGCCCCAGGGAGGGAGGGAGGATTCTGTCCCAGCATTGCCAGGCCCTAGGGACTTGGGACTGGCAGGTCCTGCTGCTCTCATCACCTTCCTAGAGGCCTAGGGACGAAGAGCATGAGCGATCCACAGCCCGAGCTGCAGGCCCTGCTGACAGCTGTCCCCGAGATGCAGCTGTTGGCTGAGGTAGCCTTAGCTCCAGAGCGTTGTAGGACCTGACACCACCCGCTGTCCTGGCTTCCCCGACCCTGGTGCCCCCAGTCTACATGGACCAGTGGCCTCTAGGCAAAGCACATGGCTTCCCACCTCCAACCCCATCTTCGTGTCTCTGGAAAGTCGACATCCAAGCAAGGAACAACGACTCAGTGGGGAAAAGAGAGAAGAGCCAGGCCACAGGGTGCCCCTTCCCTGCTCTGCCCTCTGCCTACCCTGCACTTGCCAGGGAGTGGACATGTCCAGGTGGTTCCAGACCTGGTGGTTGAGCAACATTTACCTTATTAAGCATAGCTGCCCATGCCTGCTCAGTCCTGGTGCCAAGGAAGCTAAAAACCATCCTAACAACCACCTTGGCCCCCTAGGTGTGGTTGGTCACAACCTCCTACAGTCCCAGATACTGCAGAGGTGAGCCAGAAGTTTGAGGCCAGCCTAGGCTACATAGCAAGACCCTATCAAAACAAACAGGGCCTGCCAAATAGCTCAGCGGATTAAAGTAACTGCAAGCAGGCGCAGGGGCTGGAGGTTCAATCCCTGGGCCTGCCCTGCTGACCCCAAGATGAGCCCTCTGCACCTCGCCCTGCCGGGCCCAAGATTGCCACAGTGCCAGCCGGCCTCTGCTCCCTGGTCTGTCCACACCCCGTGCCCTTCACCTGCTGCAGTTTCCTCCAGCTCAGCCCCCAGCCCCTCCGTCCTCTCCAGCCCTGAGCATGGCTGCAGCTCACTCTGAGGGCTCAGAATGTCCTGTCCTCTCCTGGCCTCGGTTTCAGCTGCAAAGCTCGGGTGCTGGAAGCAGCATGCCTTTCTCACTGGGACTTCTGGCGGATGCATGACTCGACTGAGAGTACCAAAAGGAAGGCCTGTGAAGATCCGGTAGAGAGGGACATTTGACCTTTCCCTCCCTGCATTAGGTGTTCAGTTAAATGTTTCCAGGCCATGCTTTGCCCAATTGGCCACTGAAATCACCCAGCACTGGTACGCAATGCCTTCCCCCACCCTCATGGGCCCAGGTATGGCTTTGGCGAACACGTTCCTGCCAGCTTGAACCACCAGTGGTACATGTGTGACTGTCCCATGGGGTGGCTGTACAACAGACGGAACTGTCCCATGCCACCAGATGGGACAGTCACACAGATACCTCTGGTGGTTCAGAGCCTCCTACAGCAAAACACAAACTATGGCCTGTCATGAATGCACTAAACTGCAGTTCTGGTGCATAGCCCAGGACTGCTGGCCTCCTGGCAGGGTGCTGTCACACACATGGTCTCAGTGGGTTCGTGACCCCTTTGTGCACAATCAGGCAGAGTCTGAGTGCCCCTTCCGTGAGGAAGCTGGGGGCTCCAAGGTACGGGTCAAAGCTGAAGTAGGCACCTCCTACCGACGGCATGCTGGCCTCTCAGTGGGCAGAGCCTTGTGGAAGCTGGGGCTCAGGCTGCCAGAGGGCCCCCCAGGCCTCCAGGAAAGGCCTGCGGAGCTCCTGACAGTGACGTCTCTTTCCTGGCCACGGCTGCGTCTACATGGCCATGTGGCTGCAATGGCATCCTGTAGCCACCAGAGGGCTGCGCGGCCTGGCGCTGCTCAGCGGGACCAGGCTCTGCGAGCCAAATGCTTTTTAATGGAAAATTTTTTTAATTCAAAAAGGATTTGCTGTTTGTAGTCGAGTGCAGGTTTTCCTTATGCGGGAGACTAATGTCTTGAGTAAACAGATTCAGGCCCAAATCCACCTTCAAAGGTACTCGCTGTTTGCCCGAGGGACTGAAAGAGCTTCCAGAAGCGGTCTTAGTCTCTTGGGCAAACATTTTGGGGACCGGCAATGCTGGGCAGAGGACAGCGTCTGTGGGAAGGTTATCCTCGGCCTAAGGGGGATTATGTCAGGGGACATATGTTGAAATTTCATTTGGGGAGTTAGGGAAAACAAGAGCTGCGGGTGTTGCTTTTCTATAGCCAAGATAACCTAAAGCGGGGGGATCCCAAGGGAGAGGTGGGGGCCATACAATCTGTGTGCTCCCCACAGCCCAGCCCCTAGGTCTCCATGCGCTCAGGCTGTGGCTCAGGAGGCGGCAGGCAGTGCCTGTGACAGCTCCCAGCTTCGCAGCCCGGAATTTAGCGGGTCACGTTCAGGGCCCATCTGCACCTTCCCTGTGGCCCAGCCTCGCTCTTGGCCATGAAGACTGGTGTCCCCTCCCCCTGCTACCCCAGGACCTCTGCCTGGTCAGCCGTTTCCCCAGCCTGCTCTCCTGCCTTGATACTGCCCTTGCGCAGCCTCAGCTGGGCGTCACTGCTTGTGGCCTGGCCTCCCACCTGCCCTGACATAACAAGGTCTCTTGCTGGCCCCAGCACCTACTTACCTGGGAGGGATTTGAAAAATGCAGACTCCGGGGCCTACCCAAGTCCTCTATCCTGCGTGGGGTCTGTATCTCAGGAGCCCAGGGCACAGAGTTCATCAAGATTGGGAGCTGCCATCTCAGCCCTTGAATATGCTTCCATGCTCCTGAGTGGAGCTGCCTTCTGCGCCGTCCCCACCCTGTGTGTCTCCTGGGCCTGGGTTGGGGTGACTGTCCACACCACCATCCCTCAGGTACAGGTGCTATGATACCTACCCATGTGCACCTGCATCATAGGTCTATTGCTGTGCGCTGCTGCAGTGCTGTCGCCTGCTGGACCCCTTCTTTGCTCTAGAGACAAGAACGCCACTTGTCCCCACCCTCCCTGTTTCCTCCCAGGGTCCCATGCCTCTGAGCCACCCTTCAAAGTGGCATGTTTTCTGGGCTATGTTAACAGTGCCTGCTCCACTCCCCACCGCCCTGAGGGCCCGAGGGACAAGAACTTCCTGGGGCTTAGCACACAGCACAGACCAAATTCAGTCCACGGGTACAAGGAGGCTTTGCCACTACTGGCAGCCTGCATGTATTCAAGGAGCCACCAGGTGGCAGCATGATGCCAGCTTTTGCGGGTGCCACTGTCTGGGGCTGCCAGCCTCCTGCCTCTGATGTCTAGATGGTGGCCTGGGCCACTAAACAGCAGGAACGCAAGATGCCTGGGACTGCTCTGGTGGCTCTGTTCTGTCACCCCAGCCTCTCATCAGGTTTGGGGTCACATCATAGGTCTATCGCTGGCCAAGGGGAATAGTGGTCTCTGGCAGCAGGAACCAGAGGAGATATCCTGTGGGCTGGTGGGTAGAGAGTAGCAGCACAAGTTGGCACAGATTTGCACTGGCGTCAGGGCTTCGGGCACTGCTGGTGCTGAGTTCTCACCTTGTAAAAGCAACCAGCAGTCCCCCCCTCAGCCTGCCCCCCAAGGTGTGTTCCTGCGCACACACATCTGTAGCTCCAATTCATCACCCTTGCACATGTGCGCACTGCTCCCAGCCATTGCTCTAGTGGACACTCGGGGGCCACGGGCGCCCAGCATGGCCACGGCATCCTCTGTGTCCCCTGGACTGACTGCCTCTCTGTCCCCACTCTGTCTCCCTGCAGTATGAGTACAGCTTCCGCACAGAGCAGAGCGCTGCCGCCAGGCTCCCGCCCAGCCCCACCCGGTGCCAGCAGATCCCTCAGTCCTGAGGCGCCAGCGGCCTCCTTGGGCAGAAGACGCCTCCACCCGGTGCCCACACTACTGACGCACGGCTGGGGCTGTGGGCCGTGCCCCCGCCCACCCTCCCGCCGCTCTTCCCGCCTGCCAGCCCCCTCCCACGTTGGCCACGCCCCTGGGCAGCTGAGCGTCACATGCGGTCATCAGCCTGCCTGATGGGACCCCCTAGCGTTCCTGGGGATGTTGTTCGTAACCACAACTAATCTGTGTATGCCGTAGCAACCCACAGCTCCTCGCGGTCTGTGTGACGAGTCGCGCTGCAAAACTCCCACCCATCACTCCCAAGGTTCCCTGTGACACCCACTGGCTCCCCTCCTCCTGACTGCCACCTCCATGGCAGCCCCACAAAGCCATTCTCTCCCTCCTGGAAGACCCTTGGCTTGGCTGCCTCCCATGGGACCTCCTTGGACCAAGCGTTTCCAGGGCACAAGTCCCTCTCACTAACAGGGTCAGGGCCCAGCATCTCACCACAGCCCTGCAGGCCAGGACCCAATCCTGCCCACCTGTGGACCCCTGTGGCATCTTCACCTGGCCCACACACTGGACATCCAGGGCTGGACAAGTGCCAGCCCCTGCCACCACCCCCAGAGGGACCTCACTTTCTGGAGAGACAGCTGTGTGACCCAGCGAAATCCTGGATAAGCGCGGCTGCCCAGGCACCAGGCATATACATACCCCCTCTGCCAAGGGCTCCTCCGCAGAACACCCGTGTGCCAGCCACAGCTCCACCTGCCTCTGCCAGTGCCCTGACCCAGTGACCACAGGACATGCCCTGAGTGTTCCCATCCCTGGAGGGTCATGGGCTCCCGGCTGCCTACAGAGCCACAGCATCTGCCAACAGCACCAAGTTGCTCCAGAAAGCCCTGTGCCCTGCACCACCGGGCTCGGGCCAACACCAGTGTTTCCCTCGGAGGTGCCTGTGCAGCCCATGCCCAACTGCCAGGAGACCAGGCTCACTGCCCTCTTTGGGGCCTGACCTCACCCATGGGCTGCTTTACTCAGACTAGCTGTCAGGGTTCGTCTGGGCTCCTCAGGAAGTGGGTGTCTAACATCTCTAGGTCCCCACAGGGGGCTGTGGGCATAGGGACTTCCAGAATGATCAGAGACTGGGGTATGGTGAAGACCCCTGGCTGTCGCTCCATAGATGTACCCAGGGCACCCAAGAAACAGTGGCCGGTGGTGCTGGCCAGGAGCTGGGCAGGGCCCAAATACCTCATGCACCAGTGTCAGGCCCACTGTCCCTAGGGCCCCTCTGCCACCACCAGCCTTCATCTTCATTTAGTACCTCCTCATTTCTGGGTGTTGGGACATGGTCGCTTGATCCCCTTCCACAAGACCTGCCTAGGCTACCACCATGGAGGGCCATCCCATGCCACCAAGCACTCAGCTCACCTGCCAGTGCCCAGAGGCCCAGGGGACCCATCTCAGGGCTGGTGCTTAACAGGACAGAGCAGACAAGCCCAGCCCAGCATCACTGCTAGATAAGCTAGCTGTGTTCCGGGGGCACCGGGGCACCTAGAACCTGTGTCTACTGCTGATTTTGTGGAGGCTGACCCCAAGCCAGGTGCAACTGGCGGCCCAGCGGAGAGGGGTGATGGCCAGCAGGCTGGGGAAAGTGGGAAGGCTGGGAGCAGAGCTTTGGGCTCTCCTGCCCTCTTCTCTTGGTTTGTGCACTTTGTCCTCAACCTCTTTCCTTGTCCTTGAGTCCCCAGATGGAAAGCAGAGTCTCACGGCCCAGGGAGGCTCAGAGGTGGTGGCATGGGATCCCTTGTCCGAGATCAGAAGGCAAAGCGAGAGTGGCAGCAGGAGACAGGAAGGGGCACCCGGAGGCCCCATCGACGCTGGCCCAGAGCCCCCAGGAAAAGCACATACTCCAGTGAGCTGGAGGGGCTTCTGTGGTGTTGTAGCCTTAGCTAAGGGCAACCTCAACTGTGACTGTTGCGCTCATGACAGCTTAAGCTAGCTAGGCCGGGACAGCGTTAAGGATGTCTCAGTGTCTGCGGTGATTTTAGCTGCTCCCAACTCTCTGTGTCTTGCCTTCTGAGAGGCAAGGGAGGATGAGCGAGCCAAGCACTCATGTGTGGGTTCAGGCAGGCCACAGAGCCAGGGTGGGGCTCGGGCCCACATCTAGGAGCCCGCAGCCTTTCAGGTCCCAGGGGAGTCCTTTCTCCACCACCCCTCTGGCCACCATGGAAGAGAAGCACAAGGATTCTGTTGGAAATGTGAAGGGCCACAGCCTCTGCCCTGGGTCCCCTCTGGTTTGTCCCCCAGCTGTTGCTGTCCCGGCTCAGCACCCACTGTTCTCCTGAAAAAACTAACCAGAGCACAGCCTCCCCACCCTTCCCCTTGAAAACTCCATTTCCTTCAGAGGGCCTTGGAAGTGGTGCAAGGTGGCAGGGAGTCATGGGGTCTTCCGGGTCCACTTGGCAAATTTCATCGTCAGGCCTTGTTCCCCACCCTGAATCCAAGAATAATGCCAGCCACACCCTCTGCCACTTGGAGAGATGGAAACCTGGCCTCGGTGAAGAAAAAATGGGTTCGACCCACACCTGGCCCTGTGGCTGCCTGTGGCCGCACTCTGCACAACCACAAGCTGCGGCCACTGCTGTGGCCCCTGGAGAAGGCAATGGGGGACCCAAGGACACACGCTGGCTGACACCTCTCCCCGCCGAGCAGTCTAAGCACATTTCTCCTGCGGTTCCCCCTAAAAGCACCTGGCACCAGATGTCCTGTCCCACTCCTTACCGATGAGGGACCTGAGATGGGCATGTGGGCACAGGCTGGCAGGCTGCAGAGGGGGTCTGGCCCCATGGCCCGTGGGGCCAGCATCTTCTTGTAAGCACAAGCTCAGGCGGTCACTGCTCCCAAGCCCATGATGGACTTCCGGCTGCCACCGCAACTGCGGTCCCCTCATCACACTGTGCAGTGGGCATGGCGTGCAGGTCAGGATCCCCCTCCCTGCTCTTCCATATAGCCAAGGGCTTGCAGGCTGCTGGCTGTCCTGTCATTTGCCACACGTGGGAACACCCAACCTGAGGCTGCTAAGAGCCATGTGAAAACAGCGCTCATTGATCGGTTCGTGGTCTGCCTGACCTGAGGCCGGGCCCTGCCCACGCCCAAGCCTGTCTGGGGCAGCCTGGCACCTCGGGCAGCTGACTTTCTTCATCTGTTCCAGGCGCAGGCCTGGGGGCTGCTGCAGCCTTCTCCACTGGAGATGGGGCTTTGTCCTCCTGGCAGAGGGTCCGCAAGCTCTGTGCTCTGTGCCAGCTCCAGACAGGGCCTTAGGAAGGCCTCTTTACTGCATATTTATTCAAGGTGACTCTGTACTTGGCAAAGGGAAGATTCACTGTGTGATTGTCTGTATTCTTAATATAATTTGTTAAATAAACGTTTGTTTTAATCCTTTTCCCGGGTTTGCTGTTGTGTGTCAGCCACCAGAGGTCAGTGTCCCTCCAGGATGCCCGGTGGGCTGCCTCCCAGCTTCCCTCCAGCAGGAGGGCCTGGCCTGGCCTTCCAGCCTTCTAGAAATAGCTGCTCTGCCTCCTTTGGTTCCAGTGACCTGGTTACCGGCCGGCTGAGGAATTCAGGACGGCTGCAGGGCCCAGCTGTCGTCTGGCTGCAGGAGAAGGAAGTCCCACTGACCCTGAGACGGGCCAGCCAGGAATGCCGAGCTCGCTTTCATCTCCCGTGGCCCCGAGCTCTGTCTGTGGGGTGCAGGGTACGTCTGGCTATCAGGGTGTCAGGAACGCTGCTGCAGCTCCCGTCCTTCAGGCCTGTCCCGACCGACCGTTCACCTGCCGGCAGGACGCCACTCCACACGGGCAGAGGCGGCTGGACAGAGGCGGCCTGGGGCTCCGGAGAGGCGCCTGCGGCTCGGGTTTCACTAGCTGTGCTCTCAGCCTCCCTGCCGGTGACCTTTGCCTTTCTGGACTCTCATCTCAGCCTGGGCTGTCACTGCCTGTAGCTCCTTTCACTCCAGGCAGGAAGGAGCCACCCTCAGCTCAGCACTCGGCTCCAGGGCACAGGGAGGGCCCCCAAGAGTGTGACCCCTCCAGCCCTGCCCTCCCCCTCTGCTCCCTTACCCCACCATCTCCCAGATCCCCACTACAGCCACAGGAGAGAAGAGCAGCCATAAGGGAGGATCCACAGCTCTCTGCCTGCTGGAAGAGCCACCGGTGCCAGCTGTGCCACCTTCTGACCTGGCGATCTTCAGCTCATCCCCAGTACCACCATCAGAATGGGCAGCTGGCCTCCCTCCAAGGCTTCTGGGAACGTGGCAGAGTGCATGGGCAGGACGTGGGCATCCCACAGAGACAGCCACACAGCGGCTCACTCTCCAGATCTGGGTGCTGGGCCAGGCCTGGGGATCTCAAGCCCTGCGGGGTGCGGGGACGGATGGATGCCCAGGCTGGCGGATGCAGTCTGCATACAGCAGCCAGACCGTGCAAGCTGAACAATCATCCCCCCCCTCGAGGAAGCTCACAGGCCCAAAGCACCATGCCACCGATGCAGCCAAGCCCCAGGAGCCAGGCCAGGCTGCGATGGCTCCTCCTGCCCACGCTGTGCCTCCTCAGCCTCCGCCCTGACACTGTGGGATCCCCACTGTGCACCCCAGCAACACGCCCATGGAGGATTGCTCAAAGCCTATTCAGTTTCCATCTCATGATCCCCAGTCCAGAGTCCCAGCACAGGCAGAGGGGTGGCTGGGCACATGTGGCCCGTCTGCCCCTGGCAGCTCTGGTGTGCACACACAGCATGTGGCTCGGGTCCCACAGGTTCTGACCCTAAGGGGAGGGCAGGGTTCTTGCCGGGAAGAGGGAAAGAGCAGGGCTCCTGAGGAAGAAAGCCACTCCACCTGCAGTGCTGAAGAAAGAGGCCATGGGTGGGCGGGCAGCATTCATCTACCCTCCATCTGGGTCTCACTGTGTGGCGCCCACTCACTCCACCCAGCCCTCCCCGTGCCACTCCTCTGGCCGCCCACTCCCAGCTGAGCTCCCTCTTAGACATCCCCTCTTTGATTTGCAATTTCACCGGCCTCTGCGAGCTCCAGCCATGTTATTCCAGGGGCTACCTACAGGTCTCTACCTGGGTACCCAGAAGTATGGTGAGCCTAGAACACCCAGAGTTGAGTGCACCCTCTTATTTGAATCCTGAACTGCTCGTCCTCCTCCTGTCTTGCTTCAGGACACCCCTGCCGTCACCCCCAATCACACATTCTGCACCTGGTGCCCCTGGGGCCACCCTGCTTACAGCTGGACAGCTCCGTCCCCTGTATGTCTTTAACCCAAGTCCACCTTCATGGCCTCAGCACCCCTGGGACCCCTCAGCTGGGCCCTCCCTCTCGGGCCTGAATCCCTTGTGGCTCCCCAAACCACATTTGCTTATGCCAATCCCTCTGCCTAGAGTGTTCCCCCCCAACTTTTCTGCCCCATAAACTTCTATGTCGTCCCCCGCCCCAGCTTCTGCACTTCTTCTGTGATAACCATTTTGAAGATGCCAGAGACTTGGTGTGAGAGCCATGCCTCAAATGGTTCACCTCAACAAGGTCCTGGTGCCAAGCCAGCTAGTCCACAGCGGTGCTGGTGGGACAAGAGGTGACTGCATGGGCTACCTGCTCTGAGCCTAGCACCCAGTTCTGTGGAGGCCAGAGAAATGGGGAAAGGGGCCAGTGGCTCACAGGACCCAACACTAAAGCTACAAGGAGCTCGTTTGGGTCCCAGAGACCAGGAGCCAGCAGCAGGCTAGCCTGAGAGGCAGCAGGCTAGGCTAAGAGGCACTGTTAGATTTGGAACCTTTAGGAAGTAGAATACAGTGGGAAGAAATGAGGTCACTGGGGGCCTCCCCAGGTCCGCCTCTCTGTGTTTGCTCCCTAGCTGCCATGAAGGGAAGAGGCCTCTGCTGGCCTGACCTCCACTTTGATGTTCACCTCACCACAGTTGCAAAGCAACTGAATTCTCTTTTTTTTTTTCTGGAACCGGGGATTGAACTCAGGCCCTTGTGTTTGCCAGGCAAGCGCTTATTCCACTGAGCCATCTCCCCAGCACCAAAGCAACTGAATTCTGATGACACCTCAGAAGAGAGGTGAGGGAACTGGTATGTCTGTGAGCATTCATCTCTCCCACAGTGCCCTGGATGGGTCATTTTCATTCCTCCACAGGTGTGAGAAAGGCAATAGCCTTGCAGAGGCAGCATCAGCTGGAGCCCCTGGGGTGGCCAGGCTGGGCCCTGAGCCCTGACTTCTCCCCAGAGACTGCCCTTGGGAGTGACAGTGCTGGGGTCAGGGTCTTGCAAGGATCTCAGCCTCTGGCATTCCTGATTTGGGGCAGAGGTGGAACATAGGCAGTGGATGGCAGAGGTCTGTGCCCAGACCCCATCCATACTGATTAGAGAAGGATCTACAGGAACACCAAGGATGCTACCATTTTCAAGTTCCCCCAGTAATTCCAATGCATAGCTCAGATAGAGACTAAATTCCAGGTTTCTGGGCCTTCCCTGGAATTAGGGTTTGGGTCCCCAATGTCCCTGAAGGCTCATGTGTTAAAAGCTTGGTTGCCAGGCCTGGAGCACCATTAGGGGTGGAACCTTTAGGAGGCAGGACCCGGTGGGAGGATCTTAGGTCACCTGGGACATGCCCTTATGGAGGACACTGGGACCCTGGCCCTTCCTCTTTGCTTCCAGGCCACCGTAAATGAGCAGCCGTCCTCCAGTCAGCTCTCGCTGCCACGGTGTTCCACCTTGCCCCAGGCCCAAGGCGAGGGGGCCAGCTGACCCTGGACTGAAACTTTAACAATCACGAGCCAAGCAATTATTCCTCCCCTAAGTTGTTTATCTCAGGTATTTTGTCACAGCAACGAAAGCTGACTGGCCTACCTGGATACGTGTTACCTGCCAGTGGGGCTGCATCCCCAGGAACAACGGGTTGACAGAAAGCATAGGCACCAGAAGAGCTCATCCTCCAAGGAGAAAACAAGAGCTGACCAGCGTCACACAGAACCGAGCTTCATATACACAGAGTGTCCTCCCAGAGACGCAGGCGGCCCCTGGACACGCGCACAGAGGCGGGCTGTTTTGAGTAAGAGCCCGTCTGTTGTGAAATTCTGACACGCCCAATAAGAAAAGGCATGTGAATCCACAGTCGTGCTCAAGGATTTTTAAATATACCTCTCTCAGAAACTGTAGGCAAATTGATAAAATCTGAGCAGAGATGCAAAAGATTTGAGTAACCTGATGGATAAATACAGAATTTTCAACCCAGGATCGAGCCACCGGTGTCCAGTGCCAGTCAAGGAACCATTAAAGAAGTCTCGAGAAATTCCAGGCTCAGCAGCACTCCGCAGATCGTCTCTGACTGCCTAGTGATGCAGCTGGACGATAGGACAGATTGACAGCATTTTAGAGCTGCGCCTGGTGGCAAGACACAATACCTACAATGAAATAAGAAGACTTCATAAGGGAAGTTAGTAGCATCTTAGAGGAAAAGGATAATGAAATCTCCGCAGGTCAAAATTCATGAAAAACAGTTGACGTCATGGATGTAATGACTTTATTTACCCCCAAATCAAAATGACTGCAACCCAACTAAGTTGACCTTTGTTTTTTGCTTTGGTTTATGTATTTAGTACAGGATCTCATTATGCAGCTCAGACTCATGGTGAGCCTCCTGTCTCAGCCTCCCTCCCCAGCGCTGGGATTATAGGTGTGTACCACCATGCTCAGTCTCTGTGGCCGGCTCAGTGCACTCAGGCAGGGCTTGCACAGCCTGTGGGGCTGGGGATCGAACCCTGGTCTCTGCACTTGCCAAAGCAGGCACTTAGTCCTCTGAGCTATCTCACCAGCCCAAAGTTGACATTTGAAAAAGGGAAGAAAAAAGCAACAAGTAAATGCAAAGAAACAGAAAATAAGTAAAGAAGAGCCCATGAAATATGTAGAACAAAGATGAATTATTAAAATGTCTCAATTTTGTCCTTTGAAAAAACTAAATTTCTGATGAGAGATAAGATGAAAATAAGAAGGATTTAAACAAGAAGCTCTGTCTACACTTTTCCAATTCTTTTTTTTTTTTTCATCCCTTTTCTCTTTCTTTCCTGCACTTGGTCTCTTGTTCCTCTTGCTATCTGAAAAAGATCCCCCACTACCTATTATCTTTATTTTGCTCTTTATAATTTGAGTTTTTTATACAAGAGAAACTATGCAACATTAAGCTTGGATAAGCTAATTTATTTCAGTGAATTTAAGCTTAATTTAAGCTTATTTGGGGCTGGGGAGATGGCTCAGTAGATATAGGCGCTTCCCTGGCAAGCACAAGGACCTGAGTTCAATTCCTGGTTCCATAAAAATAAATAAATAATAATTTAAGCTAATTTATTTCACTTACTAGTAGGTCTCAAGGTCCACCC